TGACCTTTAGTGTGGTGAGTGGGTGGGTGAGTGTTGTGTTGACCTGCAGTGTGGTAGTTGAACACAGAATGGGTGAGATGAAACAGTGTGTGGTAGACAGAGTCCTCAACATGGGTGGAGGGACATATAGATGGGTGTATATGTTGATATAGTGCATAGTAGGATGTGAGCACTTAATTGCCGGAAGGGTACAGGAACCACAGAAATCACTGGCCCCAGCGGCATCACTAAAGCACCACAGCTTGATGGACAGCGATTAGTGACGCGTCACACCCATATTTGACAGCCTAGAACACACGCTATAGGTACAAATCTCAAACTATAGTTAATTGGTTTTATTTAATGTCTTTCTTCACAAGAGAGACACCTAGTGCCTACTATGGCATCATCAACATAAAATTTGTTAATGACCATATGTTTATTTTGTTTCTGTATTTCAATCGTGGCAGTTTAACACTTCAGTGAGATACGTTTTAAAGAATACCTTCCAGAATACGTGTATGTACATTTCCGGTGTGTGTGTGTGCATCACCTTCCGCTGATGTCCTTTGCCAACTTGCTGTCATTCCGAATGTAGATTCAAAGCCTGAACAGGAGAGTTGATGAGCTGTAAGTACTGCATGGATATTCATCAAATTAGGACAGCTGGCATTCCAAATAATCCCTAAGGAAATTGTTACAATGTGTATAGAGATCTTCTTCTTCTAAGTTAACATTTAAAAATATATTTCCGTAAAGTGCCAGTATTTATAGCATATATGGACATTATTTTAGTTTGTAAAGTACAATTTCGTGAATAATGGCCATACATAATTTGAAAACCCCAGCATTTAAAGCAGCATGCTTGTAAACTGGCATTCTTGACCACTAAATACCAAACACGATGTATGTCACCATCAAACATCAAGACGTACTAACACAGCAACTCGGTTGGTCAACATTATCAATGTAATCGAAGAACATCGCCTTCACAATCTGCAGCGCTTACTGTGGTACGAATGCAAGTGCTGCATTTTCAGTGGGGATTTGTTCTGTCATATACCGCAAGTCCAGTGGAAAACCAATTATAAAATGTCATGGTTACAGTTATTGAATATTTGAGGCCGATATTGCATTTCCAAAATGTTTTTACTACAATTACTTTTCCCGCTGATGGCATCTAAGACTTTGATAGGCCTGTGCACAGCTCTGGTCAGCCCCTTCAACCATGGCTGGCTTGGCAATACCTCTAGGCAGCGATCCTTAACCTTTACTGCAGCCTTGCACCCCTTTGGTTCTCAATCGTAAAATAAATTATGTTAATAAATACACAGGTTTGACGAAACAAAGTAGTTGTACTTATGTGGCCGTGCCTAATTTGTGTTTCGATTTACCTTCTAAAAGAAAAATCTGGTCGTGTCTCGCTGCCCCAGAAAGGGCATCTCACACCCCCCGGGGGTGTGAGATGCCCAGGTTAAGAACCACCGCCCGCTCTATGGTCTCTTTCTGGTTCACCAACTTATCTGTTGTGTTTAGTGGAGACCAAGGCGAATTGGAAAAGGATTGGTAAATGTTTTGGTGCCATAGTCTGAACTATCTGGAGGGTCACATCCACATTGCTGAAAGGGCCCACAGTGCACCTTAGAAAACAGAATCATAATCTTAATTTTTACTCGAGGAATCCGATGAGTTATGAAGCTCGTTTTTACATGTCCAGTACAGGTGGGTCAAAACACAAAATGATCCTGTATGTGTTTTTTTACTTACATATTTGCACTTTAAAGCCACGCGAAGTGCCGTACGCTCGCTGGCAGGAGGTCACGGAACAGACACGTGCATGCACACACACACACACGCGCGCAGTGACATCTATCTCAATCTTAATTTCAATCGGCTCTATTAACGTGGACATCGTGAATTGCTTAGCGCATCACGTGGGACGTGTTTAACAAGCAATGGGCGCGTGCAGCGTGGAACGAGTTAATTTGCATTTGAACGGGGAGGAATACATTTGCGAAAGTGGAAAGAGGTAGCGTGGTTGGTGGGTCACGAGGACTGAAGTTGGTAAAACCTGCAGAATGGCAGCATTTATCTTATCCCACAAAGAAGTGAGAGCAATGGTTCGGGGATGAGATAACATCTAAGGCAGGGGTCAGCAACCAAAACAACAAGGAGAGCCATTTTCTTCGAATTAGGAAGAAAAAAAACCCTCAGTAATTTCAACAGCCGCAATGCATGTGGCGAATACGAGACGGTGGTGGTCCTTAATAAATGACGTCACGAAGCAGTTCCTTAAAGAGGCACACGCGGTTCCGGAGCAATCCGGTTGCCGACCCCTGATCCAAAGCAAACACCGGAGGTAATCTCCGTGTTGCTGCTCCGACGGGTGCTGTGGCACGGCGAAATTGAATACATCGATTAAGTAGTTTCGTTAGTTTCATTCCGATACGGAGAAATTTTACTGCAGATATTTACGTAGATTTTTCTAAAATAAAAGTGATCAAACGTGGCACTACACGCTAATTAGGGTAATCTGAATAACGGTAATCTGAAAACAGAGCATACATACTTGATTTTAAGCTTTCGTGACTGCAAGAAGCCATACTCTCTGGTTCTTTCGCTAAAGTCACGTATGTAGAAAAAAAAAATAAAAGAACACGACGTTTCCGTCGCAACACAAGCGCCCATCACCAGGTGATTCCTGATGACGGACGCCTGATGACGGACGCTTGTGTTACCGAAAGAACCAGAGAGTATCTATACATACCTTTGGTTGTAATATGTTGCAGTGGTATGATATTGTAATGCATTTCACCCCAGCAATCGACGATACTGAGCAATTGGTGTGTCAACAAATTACAGTTCTTAGATCACGCTCTCCCCAATGTGTACAGAAATTACTTTGAGCTGCTGGTTATTAGTGCCCATCATCTTCTATCCTTTATAGATTATACTGTACGTAAAAAAATGTAATATATACCGTGCATTTGAAGAGCCGCCGTGAGCCGCGTTGGTTTTGGGGTATTGTGCGCGCAAATTTTCATCCGTAAACATTTTCATCCGTAAACATTTTCCTCTCGCAGGAACGCGAAGGGCCGTCGTGGCAAGGGCAAGGGCGCCGCCGCCGCACGCAAGAAGTGAGGCCCCCCCGATCCACTCCGGCAGGCACCCACAGAACGGACGGACGGATGCGGTGTCCTCTCCTCTCCCGCATGTCACCCCAACTGCACGACCTTCGAGCGCACAACGAGAGTTGCTCCCAGCCCCACAACCAACGAACGTGCCACCAGTGTTGGCTTAGACGAGATGGTCTCGCCTATGGTAGGCGCTTTGTTCTGGAACACAAACTTGTTCCCAATAAGATGTTTACCCAAAAGAATCGATGGCAATATAACCATGATTGCACATTTGAAAAGAATGCAGAAGACAAAAATGCACCTTCTGTTAAACCATAGTTATGCTTTATTTTACTCTGCTCTGTTTTCGAATTCTACCCCTGGATTTAATAAAGTGCAGTTGGCATAGTAGCTTGAAAGTTTTCCTGTCATATATTGACTTAAAGCTTTCATGACTGCAGGAATTCATATTCTTGGGTCTTTCGGTAAAGTCACGTAGATAGACTTTACCGAAAGACCCAAGAATTTGTTCTCCTGTCATTTTACGATGCTTTCCTTGCGGTTGTTTTCAAGTTTTTTGATGTTTAACTTTAATAAAAATTATTACACTACACAAAAAACGCACCCAAAACAGATCTTCGCACACCGCTCACAACTGACGTGCGCGATGGCCAGTAATAAAGCCTTCCCCTAGGCGTGCTCAGCCTTGAATAGGTGCTCTGTATTGTGGTGTGTACACATGGGTGGTGCACATCAGCACTCCAGCGCTTTGGAGGCAAGATTCACCTTTCTCCTCTTATAACTCATTCGAGTTTATCTATGGGACCTTTTTTGCCAGTGTCGGAAATGATGAAAAATAAGAATATATTTTACCCTCTCTGGCAATAAAACAGCTGTGAAGATGTACTGTTCGCCTTTTGGCGTCCTCTGGTCTAACACTGGTAGTGAGGCAAGGCCATGGAGAAGGCTGTCTCTGGTGTAGGCCAACCAGATTCAAAGACAATGCATACATTATCAAAGCATGTTTTGTTTGCATATTTTGCCACAAATGTGTGGTTAACGCAGACTTGATTCCTTGCAACATCTTAACACCTCTTGTTGTTTTGCCAGAAAGTGTAAACGCCTATTCTTATTTTTCATTTGAGTTTGTTTTATGCCCCGTCAAGTCTACATAACTCAAATAAGAATTATGTACCTTGAACCACTCTTGCATTCTAGAGCAATGTAAAGCGTAGTATGTTTTTTTTCAGTAACAAGCAATAATGTTTTTGCAATTAATATTAATTTGTTTGATTGAATGCCATTACATAACAGTGGCAGTTTGTATCTGGCCCTTCCATAGATCCACTCTGCCTCACTAAGTCTCACTTGTCACGTGTGAACATCGGCGCTGGGGGATTAGAAGGTGGCTGGGTGGTGAAGTTGCAACACCACCTCAAATTCCATCCACCAATTTTGGTCAATTACTAGCTATTTACTTTGATTGGGAAATGCCACACTGCGACATTGCCCACGATGTGTCAACTCGTAAACTCGAAGCTATTTTTATGTTGCCAGGTAAGGCCCACTGAGCAATGTAGCTCTTTTTCAGAAGCGACCTGGCCACAAATGATCGCAAATGATATCCACATGATGAATACCTGCTGTGTTCACCTGGTACTGCATGGGGGCAGCTGCCACCGGGGGGTCCTGTGGCTAGGCTACAGCCGGTCAATGGAACAGTTGAGATGAGATGTTAGGCCCTTTGAGTTGCTGACGCATTTATTTGCCATGCAGTTAATAGCACTTGACCTTACGGCATGCATATATGAATGATAAATATGTCCCAAACATGTCTTGAGGGATGGCATCCAAAGCCGGCAGTGCGGTGTCAGGAGAGACATTAACATACTCAATAGGCTCGTTTAAAAATGAATGTTGCTTTATTGAATAATGCACGTTTTGAATATAAGCATTCACAATTCTTTGTTTCCACCAAATACCCCTTTTAAACAATGCTAGGTGTTAATTTCTGAGTACATTACACGTTTCTGGAATTGTACCGTTCTTGGTAAATAATCTAAGCAACTGTCGTCCAGAAATAGGCCCAACCCCCTAGAAGCTCCCCAAGTAAAACACTTCGACTATTTCAGCTTATTCAAAAAATAATTTGAATTATTTTTAAGAGTTTAAACGCTGTGCCATAAGGAATATATATTTGTAATGATCAAATTACCAGTTAAACTGACATATAACAGTAACAATACAATTATACTTACTATAATGTTCATTCATAAAAGCTCTCCTTAAATAAATACAATTATTACAGTTTTTTTTTTAATGCCATTTCTCATTGAAGGAATTTGCAGCATTAGCTGCTGCGGAATGCATGCCAAAGCGATGCTCCAGTGCATATGGGATGACGCTGGTTGGGCCACCACCGCTTCCTCGGTGGTGGCCCAACCAGGAATATCAACACCGTGTGGTATCCTCTAATTCAGCTCCCGCACCTACCGATTATCTCCCGCACCTACCGATTATCCCCCGCACCTGCCGATTATCTCCCGCACCTCCGATAAGCACGGTTGGCAACGTACGGTGCAAAAGAAGCTCCACACACGCACATTCCAGTTCAACACCACGGTTCCAGATCTCGGTCAACCATCGACTCCGGCACACCCCACGGACACGGATGCCGATTGCCGACAAGGCCCGCGGCGGCGGGAGCCCCCGGCTTAGCTGCTGATCTTGGTGAGCATCTTGTTGAAGGCTTGCTTAACGTGGGTGGTGGAGCTGCGACGACGCGCCTTGCCCTGCGCCGCGCGCTGCCGGAGCTTCTCGCGGCAGACGTCGTAGAAGGCGTCGCTGATGCAGCCGTCGCCGTTGCACGCCGAGCACTCGAAGAAGGCGCAGCCGAGCTCCACTGCCAGGCGCTCGCCATCCTCCACGCTCACCTGGGCTCCCGGCAGCAGACGCACGGCCACGTTAACGGTGCTGCTGCTGCAGCCAACGACCTCGAATAAATGTTCAAGTCATCGTCATAAGTGTCATTATCGTCATCATCGTCACCATCATCACCATTCATCACCATTCATCATCACAATCATAGCTTCAACATCATCATCGTGAGCCGTGGTCCATCCAACGGCTGGATGAAGGCCTCTCGCCTGTTCATCATCTGGCCTTGCTGCACCTCCGATTAGCACGGTTGGCTACGTACGATGCAAACGAAGTTCAACGTACGTACGTGTCCCCGAGTGGACATTGCGTTTCATTCGTATTTTCCAGATGCGTGCGTGTGTGAAAGCACAGCCTTGCATATGCCACTGAGGCCTCAATCATCCAATAAGGAGTGTTATAAGTGGCTTTGTTGTCAATGTGCTGTTGGGGCATGTTTGCAACAAGTTTAGGACGTTAGAGTTCACGTTTTTATCAAGTTAGGGGGAATGCGGGCATAGTTTGATTATCAAGTAGTGTACTGTAATTATAATCGTAACAATGTGTGCCAAAACCCAACCAATTGTAGCATGCAGGCCCCCAGGGTAAGGAATCTGAGTCGAATCTCACAAGCAGCACTGTGTGGGATGTGATTCGTGGATGTGCTGTGGGTAAACGGCTCCATGCTATAGGGTGGAAGTAGAGATTCCACTGCTGGCTTTGGGCTGCAACACCCATAAATGGGACTGTTATTTTGTTACCTTAAATAGCCTAATTTAAACCTTGAAATTTACTTTTAATAGGTTATAATTTATAATCCAGCATGCCCAACTATAATCTTGGCTGGTAAAAAAAATCCATTTGTCAGGCCTTTCCCTTGAAATCAAATTGCAATCAATTCACTTCCGCAGACTCCTTGGTTATGGGAGAAAATTCACCGTAGCATATGCGGTGTGGTAGGAGATAACAAGTGCCAGGATACACGATTGGATTGGATCAGATGATGGTACCAACGATGCGCGGATTTGGAATGTGATCACATCAAGATCATCTCATGAGACCATACATCTGCTCATTGACCGATCAAGCGATGCCTATTTAATCAATTAGCCGATAGTAAAAAAAAATATCGATTTAAAGTATGCATTTGTGTAAAAATGTACTTTTCACTGTTTAAAAAAAATAACCGTGGTAATAATGAATGATTTCTCAAGAACGTTAAAAATAATGGGCCCAAATCAAAAAGCTATTTTGTCTGCCACCTAAAAAGTGAAAATCAGCTGCCTTAGGCTGCCTTTAAAATGAATATGAAGACATTCATTTATTAAGGTTTATAGCCAATCCCCTTTGCCATGATTTGTTTGACCCTGTCTGAAATCTAATAAAATTGCTGTCATGGGTATTTATTGACCTGTTACTTTGCACGTATTCGATTTATAAATATACATTACATGGTATTTCCAGCACAATTTTACGTTAAATTCGAAATTTTATATTGAGTGAATAACTTTCTCATGTAAAGCGCATCACTGCTTCAAAACATATACATCTTCAAACATGGCTTTGGAGGTTGCAAATTTAGACCTGTGTTAAGAAGTGTGCATTTTATATATATATAAAGATGATACAATTAAATTCCGCACATCCTCCTGAGTCATCTTTGCTGAAGATCAGCCATTTCTTTTCTAGCTGCTCTGTGAGAGCCCAGATTTGAATACCCACACAGGTTGAGAGAATGCCTGGCCTGGCACATACCCTCCACTAAACATTAAAGGTCATCCCTCCACTTCCACAGCACCTCCCACTAGCACGGTTGGCTACGTACAGTGCAAAAGAAGTTCAACGCACATACATAGCTAATGTAGTCCATCGTTCAGCACTTTCAATGTACTGTATAGGCTACGACGTTGCATGTTTTATCTATGATAATCAATTTGTTATGTTTTACGGTGTTGAGCATAACTCTGGGTGTCCTTAATCATTTAGATTTGTTTGCCATTATTCCTGATTTACTATGTTTATGATACAATATGAATATCCATGATTTTATATAATAATTCTACATCTATATATATAAAATCGTGAATCTGTCTGTCTATCTGTCTGTCTGTGTGTCTGTGTGTCTCCGGACCATACGCACTTTCATTGGACGCCGGTTGCCCCTGCCAACGGCTAGCGACGCCTTCGCCGCTTTCATTGGACCTGGCAACGGCTAGCGACGCCTTCGCCAAGGGCTGCAGTTTCATTGGACGGCGGTTGCCCCTGCCAATGGCTAGCCACGCCTTCGCCACTTTCATAGGCTCCGTAATTAATTAAATAATAGCCATTACTCAGTATTGTTCGAGCGCTAGGGGGGGGGGGGGGGGGGGGGGACCGGCACCCGTACCCAGCGTCAGCCGGGTGGGAAAATCAGGCGAGGCGGGAGGCTCTGCACGGTGCTAGGCCTCGACACCCACCACGCGAATCTAAGGTAAATTCATAAAAGTTTCACGTCCTCTACAGAGTCGTGAGGGAGGGAGACTGGCGAGGGAGGGAGAGTGGCGAGGGAGGGACTCAGCCTCAAAACGAGTAACTGGTGTGGCGTTTTCACATCGGCACTGGGGAGACAAAGGCGGCCGGGCGTGGTGGATCCAAGTCCCGGGCGAAGCCGGGTCATGTGTATGTGTGTATGTGTTTATGTGTATGTCTGTGTGTCTCTATGTATGTGTGTATGTATGTGTGTGTATGTGTTTGTGTGTTTGTATGTGTGTGTGTATGTATGTCGGTTTTTTTTATGTGTTTATGTGTATGTCTGCGTGTCTGTATGTATGTGTGTATGTACGTGTGTGTATGTGTTTGTGTGTATGTATGTGTGTTTGTATGTATGTGTGTGTATGTGTTTCTGTGTATGTATGTGTGTGTATGTATGTGTGTTATGTGTCTGTCTGTGTGTCTGCATGTATGTGTGTGTATTGTGTATGTGTTTGTGTGTATGTATGTGTGTGCTTGTGTGTATGTGTATGTCTCTGTGTATGTATGTGTGTGTATGTGTTTGTGTGTATGTGTGTGTATGTATGTGTGTGTATGTGTGTGTATGTGTGTGTGTGTGTCTGTGTGTGTGTCTGTGTGTGTGCGTGTGTGGTGTGTGGGGAGCGGTAGTGTAGTGGTTAGCGTGCTCTCTGTGTGTCTGTGTGTGTGTGTCTGTCTGTGTGTGTCTGCGTGTGTCTGTGTGTGTGTCTGTGCGTGTGTGGTGTGTGAGGAGCGGTGGGTGTAGTGGTTAACGCTACGCTGCGCTACCAACCCGGCGAACCGAGTTCCATTCCCGCTCACGGCCACCACCGGTGACGATTATTTGAACCTCTCCTAGGTCGACTCAGCCTCAAACGAGTAACTGGTGTGGCGTATTAACATCGCCACTGGGGAGACAAAGGCGGCCGTGCGTCAGTGGTGAGGGAGGGAGAGTGGTGAGGGAGGGAGAGTGGTGAGGGAGGGAGAGTGGTGAGGGAGGGAGAGTGGTGAGGGAGGGAGAGTGGTGAGGGAGGGACAGTGGTGAGGGAGGGAGAGTGGTGAGGGAGGGACTCAGCCGCAAAACGAGTAACTGGTGTGGCGTATTAACATCGCCACTGGGGAGACAAAGGCGGCTGGCCGTGGTGGATACAAGTCCCGGGCGAAGCCGGGTAGTACAGCTAGTATTCTATATTATTACACACGATAGCATACATACACACGTGGCTTTGGAGAAGCGACTGTATGTCGGCATAAATAAAATCACATTTGAACACAAAGGGGCGCAAAATGGTGTCGAATTGTAAAATTCCACAGACCTACCAATACTTACACAATCACCCTTGACTCAGACCGGCCCACCCACACACTCACAAATTGTTCGCTGTATTCAAGCCACGTATCAAGGACTTGCACACTAACCACCGTCATATTCACAACCTTCACATTGGTCTGCTGCTCTGGAACCTTAGCAAATTGTCACACAACTGTGATCACTCATTGTTGCGCTCAGTTATTACTGAGGATAATGCTTATAGACCAACATTTGGATTTCAGCACTTCAATGTATTAGATGTATAAGATTAAAACTATTCCCATCAGTGTACCCTCAGTATACTGGGATTAAACGTAGATAAAGGATTATGCTTTGCCATCTGGAAATAGCGGATGGGTGTTTTTGTCCGTAAACATCAAGCTGCACATATCCCCATACAAATAACATGCTTCGTACTCCATGGTTTAGCAAGCATTCAGAAATACATTAGGAATGCTGTATACTAAATGCGTATTATAAAATATGAATGAGTGATCTATGGCTTATCGGTTTACAATATTTCACGAGTCTATCCTTAAAGCGGTAGCTTTCAGACTAAAAGCTTGGAAATATATTGCATTGCAGTGCCACTTTGCCTATGAGGAATGCTGTTCGCACCACAGTCTCAACACATTTTTTTGGGTTAGATCACGTAAATATATAAATGTATCATTAAAACCCGCCACCACCCGACACAGCCAATCAGTTCGGGTTGTCACGTAAACAGAACATGCCAATTTGTCACTGGTACAGCACACTGGTGTGTTGGAGAGCCAAGCCACAACATTTACAATTCGAGTACGACGTTTCGCCTGAAATTACTAGTAGCTTCATCAGGCGACAGCCAGATTTGTGGAGAAGTCCACCTGTTTCGTTCCTTATATAGAGGTGTGCAGACCTTGGGCAATTATTGGCACTGGCTCACTGCCTGGCTGCCTTCCAGCTTGTCTGTGGTTCCTGAGTGATTGTGAGATGCAATTTGCATGAACAACACTTAAAAAAAACAACACGAAACCAACAGAATGTCTGCAGTTTTTTTTTAAATTTCCAGATGACTGTGATGTTGGTGTTCATGATTAGAATACTATATATTTACTAGTGTAATTGCCTGTCATTTGACGGGTTCGTAAAAATAAAGTTTAATGAAAAAAAATTAAGATTATATTTTATTTATTTAATCAAAAATGTCTCTATATATATGACATTTGGTGTAAATTGACGATCATCTCCCAAAAGTTATCTTTCAGATGCATTTTATTGACTCAGCACTTTGATGTTGGTTGAATTTTTGCATCTTGACAAAGCAACATAATAAAGTTGTCCATGGGGAAAAAACATGTTCGTTCAGATAAAGTCCAACATACTCAAACGTTTTCCCTTGTGACCTATTTACAGTTATATCAAACGCAGGAATGATTAGAAACTGTCTTCCGTTCAAAATAAATAGTAAATTCACATCAGACGTTACCAGGTGGCATTCCAGATGGTGTTAGCAGCGTGCTGCAGAAATTCTACTGGATAATTTGTCATCCAGATCCACATAGCCGAACCCACCGCTACACACACCATTCAGTGTCAGGTGTGAGGCAGAGATCACCAAAACTACATGAACTACAACTGAGTCTCATAGTCTGTTTATGGGGCACCATTCAAATTATTTTCTGAAAAAAAGTGATAAAACATTTGTCAAAAATAGCAGGCACATGGGTATGTATTATTAAAACATTTATATTGTATATAAGAATAGGTTTGACTGTTTCTGGCAATAAAACAGGTGCTAAAAATGTTAAAACACCAAACAGAAACCGTTTGTAAGTAATCATATCTGCATTAACCACATATACTTGTGGTGAACATGCAAACAAAAAACATGTTCTGGTAGTATATGCATTGTCTTTGAAACTGATTGGTCCACATCACAGACAGCTTTGTTTACAGTCTCAAACAGTGTTAGACCGGAGGACGCCAAAAGGCGAACAGCACAAAGACAATGCCACCGTCAGGACATTGAAAGCTCGGGGTGAGCAGCTACATCATGGGACCTCCCTTACCAGTGTAATGACACGATGACACCTGCTGGCTGGAATAGGAAGCACGGGTATAGGCACTGTTAAAGACAACAGTCAGTCTGAAAGGGAGAGGTATCTGGGACAAAGGTAATGGGCGGGGTCGGCCGAGACGCTCCAAGAACCTGCAAGAAGGTTCCAGGACAGGGCATGGTCAGAGGTGGAGCCCAGCCGTGCCTGGTAGAATATAAGCAGGGCCGGAGCAGGGCTCAGGGTTCGTGTGGGGAGTGTTGGGCCCGGTCTGCGTCGCTGCTCGCCGTCATCGCTCTCCATCATCCGGCCACGTGGAAGATCACCTGGGGGTTTCCGCCACCCTCCTCGGCACGCTGCCAGCCAGCGGCGTCGCCGAGTGTGGAAAGTGGAACCACGCCGAGTGATTGGCCCCGTGTGTGTGTAGCCAGTAGAGACGCTAACATCCAAATGTTGTACTCAGAGTGAGAAGATAAGGTTGGCCTGTGTTGTGCCCGTAAATGAATAAAATAAGTACCCTCATTACACCAGTTTCACAATATAAGAATAGTTTTTACCCTTTCTGGCAATAAAACAGATGTTTAGAGCCTGTTTGAGACAGATTTCTTAAAAGCCTGAATGGATAAAACCTATTCTTATATTGTGATATTGAGAAGGGAGGTTTCATGATGTAATATTGTATATAACAGAAACATGATACATCTGTTTACATTATTAAACATGCATTTATTCACAGTGCGTGGGGAACTCACCTGTCGTGCATGATCCAAGTCGATCTTGTTTCCCAGGAGCACTGTGTGCACAACCTGTGGCTTCTTGATTTCATCAATCTGAGCCTTAATCTGGGCAATCTCGTCGAAGCTGCATCTGTCCGTGGTATCGTAGACCAGCAGGAAGGTGTCCCCCCAGCGCACGTAGCCTTCCCTCTGGCCAGAATCATCCTGTGTCTTCAACAGAATCGACAAACAGCGTCACACGCAGTCAGTGAAAGGTGATGATGCAACCGGTGACAAGGCCACAAATGAGCGACCGATCCAGGATGGAGCAGTCATTATTTAAAAGTGAACCTACTGGTCACGGTAAAGTCACAAGTCTATTTCTTCTATTTATGGTTGATATTGATGTCGAGCAACACCTGGAATTTACATTGAGGTGGTTGATGAGCCAGTGCATTGCGCCAGGAGTAGCGAAGTGTATCGCTGTGATGACACCTCCTTTGTATTTTTGACCACAGTCACACACCAGCGGCGTTTTAATGTTCCATACATTTTCCATCAAGTCATGTCATTCGTTACAGCAACAAAGCTCCCATTGCAAAAATGCGTGTTGAATCTCATTTGGAAGCATTTGCTCTGTATTTTATTGAAATGAAAAATGACCCGGTACAAAAATATATACAAGAGTTTATGCAGTATAATTTCCATCGATATACATTTTCCCTCGTAAAAAAATATTTTATTCATTCACTCGTGATTTGTGATCCACAACATTAGTTTGACCAGGATACCACGGCTAATGTGGTCATAAATCATCAAGTACGGCAATCTTGCCAATATGTGGGCCACTTGGTTATTTTCAGAATAAACAAAGAAGGAAGCCACGTTTTTACACATTTGGCTTGCTTTTCACACTGCACAGCAGGCTCAGTACGCGTCACAATTTGACATTTCACATTTTTTATTTTACGGAAAGCCTTTAGATTTTTATTCCTGAAAACCAAGTGTACGTTCTCTTGTGTTCATGTGTGCTGTGCTTGCTTTTACTGAAGGGAAGACTAAAAAAAAGTGGATGCAGTGGGGTTTGTTCCAAGCGTTAAACCTATTTATATATCACCGTGTCACTCATATATTCTTGTATGCTACCTCAAAACGATATGCTGCTTGTTGCATGCTGAATCATGCAGCGATGCTTGTTACGCGATAGAGCTGAACCATGCCGACAGAGATGACTGCGGAGGTAAACATAAATGAATCACATTTAAATCAACATAAAGTGCGTCACAGTGGCATGTCCCTTATGGGGAGCAGCGGTGCAGGGTTTTGTGCGCTAAGCTACAAACCCGGCAACCCGAGTTCGATTCCCGCTCACGGTCACCAACACCTGAGCTTCCCCCTAGGTTGACTCAGCCTAAAATGAGTACATGGTGCAATATGTGCATTTCATAAGAGGTTTTTTTTGGGGTTAGATCGCGTAAATATATGAATGTGTCATTTAAACCCGCCACCAACCCGACACAGCCAACTAGTAAGGGTTGTCACGTAAACAGAACATGCAAATTCGTCACTAGTACAGCACACCGGTGTGTTGGAGAGCCAAGCCACAACATTTACAATCTGAATATGACGTTTCGCCAATACAGTAAAACCTTGGATTGCGAGTAACTTGGTCTGCGAGTGTTTTGCAAGACGAGCTAAATTTTAAATAAATATTAATTTGATAAACGAGCGAGGTCTTGCAATACGAGTAGTACGTATATGCTTTTTCTGCCGAGCGTCACGTGATCACAACTGATATACGAGTGCTTTTATATACGAGTGCTTTGGATTACAAACACGTTTCCGGAACGAATTATGCTCGCAATCCAAGGTTTTACTGTAATTACAACTAGCTTCATCAGGCGATAGCCAGATTTGTGGAGAAGTCTAACTGTTCCGTTCCTTATATAGAGGCGTAGATGTGGTGACCATGCTTCTGCGCTCTTGCGAAAAGTGGTGGGGGGGGGCGGGGGTGAATTACTGATTCAACGTGCATTATGCATGTGCATTATGCGATCCCTTTTATCTTGTCCTTCCTGTCTATTATGTGGATTAAAATAGCCGTACCAACGGTAATCACTATTGAAGTATGCTGCCCTTTGTAGGCATGCATTTAAACAATGTATTATTTGATGATTCGCTTCCATGCAGCACTAAGGCGGTAGCTATGGTTAAATTATTTTTGTTTCTTTCAATATCGATAGATTATCTAATTAGTCTTGGCCAGTAGTAGCTAGTTTTTCAGAGAACTTCAAAATTACAAAATTCAATTGAGTGTCCTTGTTGGCACGCATGTTCTGCTACTGCTGACAGTTGTATTTGGGAGAATTTAATATTTATCTGATGTTCTTTTAGTCTCGTGCTGATCATTCGTCCTGTTTGCCCAACATAACATTTACCACACGTGCAGTTAATCCTGTACACGCATTCTGTTGATAGCTTCGGTAATACATCTTTTGTACCAGATATTAGTTTCTGTATTTTGTGTACTGTGCCAAATCTGATTCGTATGTTTTATTTTTCCAAACATCTGGCTAGTTTATCAGTTACTCCCGCAATGTATGGTATTTTGATTGTTTTAATTACTTGGGCAGTTTCAATGCTCGTGTTATTTGATTTGGTTTTGGCATTCAATTCCCTGTTGATTTGTGCATCATTGTAACCATTCATTTGCAGCGCTTCTTTAACATGTTGAATTTCACTTCTCAGAATGTCACCATCTGACACTTTCTTAGCTCGATGAATGAGCGTCTTGATAAGAGCAGATTTCTTTGCGGGGTGATGGTGTGACTGCATTCAGATAGGCGTCAGTATGCGTTTTCTTTCGGTAAACACTGTGTGTTATTTTACCATTTTGACCCCGTCCGAGCAGAATATCCAGAAATGGTAGAGTTCTGTCAGCTTCCACTTCCATGGTGAACTGGATGGATGGGTTTTGCGAGTTGAGATTATTTAGAAATTCGTTCAGGGTATCTTTGCCGTGTGGCCAGACCACCAATGTGTCATCCACATATCTAAACCAAGCAGATGGTTTTAGTGTGCTTGAAGCTATTGCTTTTGTTTCAAAATCTTCCATGTACAAATTATCTATCACAGGAGACAAAGGAGAGCCCATTGCTGCTCCTTCCTTTTGTTTATAGAAGTCACCTTACCACAAGAAGTAAGTGTTCTTTAGACAGTGTTCAGCTAGTCTTGGGATATCTTTGGCTAAACCTTTGTTCGTTACCATAGTGTCGAGTAATTTAATTGACTCATTGACCAGAACCCTCGTGAACAGCGAAGTCACATCAAAACTTACGAGGATATCGTTAGGGTTAAGCTTAATATATTTCATTATATTTACGAGATGTTCAGAGTTTAAGATGAATGAAGAGGTTCTACCGATGTAGAGCTGTATTTGTTTCGTTACATATTGTGCTAATTTGTACGTGGCAGAGCCTATTGCACTAACTATTGGTCTTAATGGGACATCAGGTTTGTGAATTTTTGGTAGCCAGTAAAGTCTTGGTGGTTTTGATGCCCTTGGTTTGATCAGGTATTGCTCTTCTTTGGGAATTGTTGATTTACGTTCCAATGTGCTGGTTGGGTCTCGTTTAATTTAAAGATAGGTACATTTCACCACTCGGTAGACAAAGGCGGGCGGGCGTGGTGCTGGCCACCCATCCCCCTCGTGAACTCTGCCATCCTTCATTGGTGCTCCCTAACAGCACTTGCCCCAAAAATATGTTAATGCTGCACAGGGGATCCATGTCTTTGTTTGTCCCTGAGAGATGTATCTTCAGCCTGTCAGACTGAAGAAGACATGTGTAGTACCGTTGAGGACGCTTGGACACTCGGGGTTGAGGCACACGTATTTATTCCGCAACAGTGGTTACAACCGCGGGCATACAATACTAGAGGGGGTATCGGCCCCCTCACCCGGCTAGCTGGGAATACACTGCTAGCCAACTCTAACCTACCTCCTAGTCCTCCACTAAAGAGCTAGGGGAGGCTATCTGGCCCGACACTGGCAAGTCGGGCTACGGTACCCGGAGTCCCAGAGCACTAACTCTGGTTCTCGGGACCACGCCGCTGGCTCGGTCCTGCGCGGCCCTGACAAGGGCGGCGTCCCAGGGGAGTCCAGGGCTCTAGCTAGACGATCTTGGGTCTTCACTCCTTTAGCTGTAACATTGTGCCCCGAGTCCTCCGGCTCATCCCCTTTTATACCCCAACCCTCCGCTGAGGGGTGGGGCCCCCCGGGGGATCACACTCCGGGCCAGCCCCCCAGGCTGCCTGGTGCGGACGTCGCTGCGAGCACCTCCCCGTGTGCTCACGGAGCCCCGCCCACTGTGTTTGTTTCCCGTGTGATCCTATGTATACAGCCCCTCCGTAACACCCCTACATCACCCCCCCCTACATAGCCCGCAGCCGTCCCGGCTGCAACAATCAACAATAAAAGTTTATTTACCCTTTGACCCCGCGTGTGCCTCACAATTATTGAACCATAACGCAACGAGAACAACAACAAAAACCAGAAAAGCCAGAAGGGAAAATAACCCAACGCACCCCACCCCCGAATAAATACGAATACCGTAAAACCAACGTATATACAATTTTCAGGGAACCCCAGCACACACACAACACACCAGGAACACAACATACGTACGATCCAATGTGCCAGGAACACGCCACTGACGCATCACAAGAGTCTGCGCATTCTTGCGCGCGTCCTTGCCGCTGGCCCGTCACACGGGGCAACCCCGGATGGCGGCCCGTCGGGTGGCAACTGTCCATTTCCGAGTGGGTCTGTTCTTGATGTCGCGAGACCCTCGGCATCCCCCGTCGGGGTTGTCGGGCGTGAGCCCGTCATTCCTGGTGCACCTGGGGGCGGGACAGCCGGCAACACGTCAGGCGAGAGCAGCGGAGACGGACCCTTTGAGTCAGTCGACCCCCCACATGTTTGGCCACGCGTGTGTGGAGTGGGACCTCGCGCCGCAATGAAGGGTTTCAGTCTGGAGGGGTGTACAAACCACCGGCGCTTCCCCCATTTGATGCGCACGCACTGAGGGCGCACAACCTCAACCACCTCGACGGGGCCCCACCACGGCCGCACCAGTTTTGAGGAGGTCGCGAGTGGTACCTGGGGACAGTGCAGCCATGCCCTGTCTCCCGGCTTCCACTGTAGCACGTGCGCGCGACCCAGTCTG